ATTTTATGGGGGTGGATAGGTATTTTATGACTATAGTATAGGGTAAATGGTTATTTTATGGGGTTGGATAGGTATTTTATAACTATAGTATAGGCTAGGTGGTTATTTTATGGGGGTGGATAGATATTTAATGGCTATAGTATAGGGTTTTAAAGGAAAAGTTGACGGACGACGAACGCTGCGGTATGGCATAAGCCCACCATGGTCCTTCAGACCTGGTGAGCTAAACATCATTAGTATGACAGACAGCAATGAATCGCAATGACTATTCTGGTCAGCTGAGCTAAAAAGTTAGAGCCTGACAGACAACAAATGGACAATAGATGGAGCAAAAACATATAATCTTACTTGGGTTTTTTGGCAAGGCTAAAAATGTTGACGCCCGACAGAACTGATAAGCTAGACTGAACCCAAACACCGCACCATGGCATAGGAATACTTGCCTGAAGGGGAAGTGAGCTTATGCCATGGATCAGTGTTTGGTCTTTGCCTGAAGGGGAAGTGAGCTAAACATCAATATTATATAAACAACCATAACGTTTATTAGTGAAGTCCTTTGGATAATTGTCACTGAAACAATGGCTCTCCCACTTTAAAGGGTCATTCCTCTTAGTGTACTCTTTCAATCAATCTTTCTCACTATTGTATCAAATGAATATTACTTTATTTTTCCTGATCTATTCATTTAGATTTAAAATTTTGTTTAAAGAAAACATTTTCTTACCATATTCCATGATTGTCTGTCCAGCTCCTATGGGTTTCAGATTAGCGTCTACCGGGCACACCACAGCATACGCATTTGTCTCTGCGATGCTTTCCGAGACCAACATCAAGCATGGAGAGTTCTTGATCACCCAAGTATGTGATGGACAGGGTTTCAAAATTACCCTTTCCTTTCTCTTTGATAAATAACAATTGTTAGCCATCTCAAATTTCATTTTTTTGTTTTCATCTTCCAGAACTTCAGGAAGAAACTTCATTCTCAGACTTTCGTTCACTATGTCAACAACTCTCTTTTCCAAAGTAGATTTCACAATGGGAAGACTTTTCTCTGGTCCAGTAAGTTTTAGTTTCCTTTTGTTTTCAGATGATTCAAGATGCACATCATACTTCTCTTTCAGACTTCTTCGAAATATGAGCTGATTCTCCAGGTATTCACAGGCTCCTTCAGGCATTTCAAGACAGACTGATGTTTCAGTGTAAATCCATTTATCACAGTGTCTCATCACTGTTAGGATTTCCTCACAAGCATCAGCTGTTGCCACTAATGGTACCTCATCGCTTGTCAGGGATAAAATTTCAGCTTTCCCATGATACCTCTGCAGTACATTTTTGCAGGCTTCTTCTTGCAAAACCTTTTCCACTTGGTTGAACTCTACTCTTAGGGATATAACTGATATCATTGCAGAAACACTCTTCCCAGCATTCACTGCTTCTCTCTTGGTCTGTGCAAATATTTCAACAGTAGCACCATCATTTCCGAGCTTCCAGAAATATCTATGTTTTTTCTTTTGCAGTTCTCTTGTAATGTAGTCTTTGGTTTCCTGATGTTTAAGAAGAACTGCACAATCCTCAGTTAGACAGCAGGCTTCTCTATTTTCCTTGATCCCGGAAAGGATTCTTTTGATTTCTTCACGAACTTTGTAAGCATCACCTTCCGATGCCACTATCACAATTTCACCATTTCCAGTAGTACATTGTTTAAACTCATCAACAAACCCCAAAGTATTCCACAGACACATGTCAAGTTCAGAAACTTCCAAATGTACCTCATCTGTCTTTGAAGATTGTGACGGCTGGTGTTTCTGTACATCTACAGAACGCTGTTGACTTCTACTGGGTTCTGATTGTCCTGGATCTTCAGAGTGTACCCATTGTATAATACGCTGCATCACATCTCTGGTAGCAGCCACACGGACCTCGTCATCTGTTTTCTCTATGACAACTCTCTCAATTTTTGTTGGACTCAGACCTACTTCCCCGAATGACATCTCTTTTACACGTGGATACAGCTGTACAAGGAAAACCTCTTCTACAATGTTTTCCTTTATTTTGTGACGAACTTTCTTCAAATATTTTTTTTGACCAATCAGTAGAAGTTTTCCCTGCTTCTGAACATTTAATACACCTGAAATGTTGTCTGTCCTCAACAAATTGTTGATATATCTGCCTGTCTCAGGGTTTGAAAGCAGCTCTGTCTGAAGCGATGTCATTTCAAGTGGTTCTGTATGCAAAGTACTGAAAAAAGTTGCAATCTTTCTTCTGCATTCTCCAACTTCATCTCGTTTTCCTCTGTATGTGACTTTTGTGTTACAGTCGTGAAGATGAACTTCAACATCTGGAAAATCCTGCTTCAACTCCTTAAGAAAACTGAGAGATCTAAGCATCATTCCATGTGATTCAGACTCAATGGGGCATTCCATTGTCAACAGTTCATCATTTCTCATGTTAGCTTTCACTTTATAAAGAACTTCATCCACCTCTTGTTTAAATCCCACAATGTATAAACAGTCTTTGGCCTTGTCATAAAAAACATCAGCCTCACCATTTCTCCTATTAATAGCTGAAACGAGACGGGAAAGATATCTTTGAAGGGAACTCTTAGTACTGAAGGATGATAACTCGAACTTCTTTTCCTTCAGAGAAGGTCGATATTTTGCAATCCATTTTTGAACAATTGTTCTACTTTGTTCAAATGTATAATCAGTTGAAATCAAAACTTTCCGTATTCCAGTACATTCTGAATATTTCCAGCAATGCGCATCCAGCAAATCTCGTTTCTTGTGTTTGAACAAGAACTGCGTGAAATGAACATTATCTTCAAGGTCACATGAGAATGTGCCATCACTCCCTGTTTTCTGGATGTAGACTTTGTTTGTTGTCCAAACTTCATCAACAGCTTTGTTCCCATCAGCCTTCTTGGACAAATCTGGAAAATAAACATTTTATTTATAAAACTAATAAAATAAATGAACAACATATTCTGAAACATGAGAGCCACATAGGTAATATACTGTATACATCTATCACCAGGGGTAGCTTACAACTTAACAAGATATAATATTGTGAGCAACCCATAGAGTACCCCACCTCTGGACATACATGTAGTCTGTTTAAGAAAAAGAACAAAGGGCTGTACCAACTCTGCTATTGTCTGCAGACAATTGTGGGGTTGCACAACATAACACGATGTGTGCACAATCTGTGCATGATGTGGAAATTATGAACATCATTTGCCAAGGTTAACTTACCTAGGTCGTTTGTCATTTCTACATATTTCATAAAGTATGTTTGTATTTACCGTGAGTGAGTGGGTATGTGTGGTACTGGTTATATGTATTATTCTTAGGTAATTAAATTATACCGTGAACTCAGTATCTTTGTTGACTTTATACATTATCAGACACCATGACCACAGTCCTTCGTGACAAAGACATCATAACCTTGAACTTGACGGTTCTTCCATTATGGCATCAGGTACGTGAAATAAGGTGTAAGACAGAAATTTCTTACATCCAAGTCCTACCCTGGACAGTTCTATCATATAGGCACAGGACTGAAGAAGGTTTCGTGACCTTTATATAATGCCCAAAATATCTGTCATAGTGACCTAATTATGGTGCTAAGGTGCACTGAAAATGTCCCGAAATATCCGGTTTGGAGTTCTGACATGAAACAGTACATAAGACCGGGACAGTCAGGAGTCAAGGGTAATAAGTGGCCTAGAATGTTGCCCTAAGTCCAGAGTTTGCTTTTGCACAAAGATTCATTTTGATCTTGAACTTTTTAACCCAGAAATTATGTCTGAATTTTCTTAGTTTGCTATACCCTGTTAGTATTGTCACCTTGGTAGGATACTAGCTGCTTTCTACCGACTCAGCTAGGGAAAATTTCATTCGGTAGAGTGTAACACTAATAAACCAGAGGTCCCAGTGACTCCTAGAAGAGACATTAAACAAGAGATCCCAGAGGGATCTTGGCGCCCACCTTTGTACCATCTTCATTAGTTCTTTGTCAGTTCGATCTTTTCTCTTCTCACCTCTAATCTGTTTGATCGAGTCATGTTAACAGTAAATGCACCTTGAGGTAACTTTTGATCTAAACTTAATACTGATGTGTATGAAAGCCAACCTTCAAAGTGAGTTTGTCATTTCACATATTTACTAGTACAGTTCTTAATGTGAAAGAAATAGAATCGATCATTGCAATATGAGAAAGATCTGTTTAGTTCTTCTTTTAATCCATTTTGTTTTTATGATCAGTCTCAAAATATAACATACACAACGAGGGATCAAGGGGAACCTACATTTAAAATTTGAGAAAGATCCCTCCCGTACTTCCCGAGAAATAGCGATAACAAACTTTCACTATCAAAATCCAAGATGGCTGCCTGTCGGCCATGTTGTTTATCCGATCAGTCTCAAAAATTGCCCTGCACAGCTAAGGACCAAGGGGAACCTACATATAAAATTTGAGAAAGATCCCTCTGGTACTTCTTGAGAAATAGCGATAACAAACTTTCACTATCAAAATCCAAGATGGCTGCCTGTCGGCCATGTTGTTTATCCGATCAGTCTCAAAAGTTGCCCTGCACAGCTAAGGACCAAGGGGAACCTACATATAAAATTTGAGAAAGATCCCTCTGGTACTTCTTGAGAAATAGCGATAACAAACTTTCACTATCAAAATCCAAGATGGCTGCCTGTCGGCCATGTTGTTTATCCGATCAGTCTCAAAAGTTGCCCTGCACAGCTAAGGACCAAGGGGAACCTACATATAAAATTTGAGAAAGATCCCTCTGGTACTTCTTGAGAAATAGCGATAACAAACTTTCACTATCAAAATCCAAGATGGCTGCCTGTCGGCCATGTTGTTTATCCGATCAGTCTCAAAAGTTGCCCTGCACAGCTAAGGACCAAGGGGAACCTACATATAAAATTTGAGAAAGATCCCTCTGGTACTTCTTGAGAAATACCGATAACAAGAATTGTTTACGGACGGACCACGGACGGACCACGGACCACTGACGCAGGGTGATTTGAATAGCCCACCATCAGATGATGGTGGGCTAAAAAATAAGGACATATCTGTTACATTGGTGCTCACGTGATACTCGGGAAATATTGACAAAAATTCTAGTAATACTTTCACAAGAATCGCTATGACCCCTGGAAAATTCAGGACAGTTCTTTCCTGGAGTGTGAGTATGCCACCATGTTAGGAAACGCTGCTTCCTATTAACTTGGCTAGGGAGAATTTCTCTTCAGCTCATTCAGTAGAGTGAAAGACTAGTAAACAAGAGGTCCCGTGTTAGACTCCTTGCGGAGGCATTGAGAAAAAAAAGACCTCTGTTTCAGTATTGGTGTGAATATGCACTTGTACAGTGGCCGAGCCGATTTCTCTGTATGCTCACTGAGCAGGTCGACTCGCCTGTAGTTGATGAGCTGTCGTGCGAGACAATATCGAATGTAGTCTATACTTGGTCAAGCCGCTATATGGACGTTTTTTATCAAATTCAGTATCAAATGTAAATTTTCTTTTTCTAGTTCAGAAACAGGTTACTCACAGCACTGTGAATTTAACCTTTGTCATGTAAACAAAAACACATATTAAATGTGTTTCTCTTCACCCCATTTATAAGTAGTCTCCCTGTGCGGTCCCAGTTGGAAAGATATTCTAATTAGTAAAGAAAAACTATGTGACCTTGCATTACAGAGGCTTTATAGGAAAACACAAAATTACCTGTAATTCTTGATGGGTGTCGTTTGAATCCTTGGGAGACGTTATATAAAGGTTTCCACGCATCCCCATCTGCCTTTTTAAGTACAAATCTCTCTTTACCTTCAGCCATGACTAGTACAGTTCTTTAGAGTGCTGTAATACCACAATTCATCTTCACATCATGAAGAAATCTAAGCAAAGAAAATCTAACAAATGAAACCAAAAATGAATATAATTATAACATGGCTTTAGATATAAATTGGGGTGGTAGAGATAATGGAGGACAATATATATATCTGCATTTTCTTAACAAGATTGACTGGTATATCATTTACATGTTTTGGTTGATTAAATATAACATCTGTATCAGGATACATAGAGAGTAGTGTGCTTCCATAGGGGACAATAAAGTGTTTAAGCTCAGGTGACCTAAACAAATATAGTATGCTTAAATTTGTTTAAGCACATTATAGGTGGTATTTATTAACTTTTGACATAATTTCAGACTCCTATGGATGATTTATAGGATAATACAATATACCAGACACAAAAATATTTGTTTTTGTCACCGTTTTTATCATAAAACGAAATACATACGACAAAATATCATTAAAGAAAATAATAACTTCAACTCTGTCAAGTCTACTTTCGGTTTGAAAATAGAATTTGGGTGACGTGGTTGTGAAAATCCACGGAGCAGGAGTCTTTCGCTCTCTGCATTGTACCAGAAAAATACAAATTGTTTGGTCAGAACATATGAAACGATCACGTGTTTCAATTATTCCAACGGCTCACCATGAATTTGCACAGAAATATAGCGGTCACATCTTCGTCTTCGACTGAAACGAAACTAGAAATACCAGGGGCCTGTTCGTTTATGTGGAACAACCGGTACGGCCGTTTTAAATGTCACATTTCCGGGTATAAATCCTGGCAAACCAGCAAAAGTTTATGAAGGCCTTGTAAGGCTTTGTAAATGTTTGTCTGTAAGCAGCATCAGTTTACTAGGTCCGACCTTATTCCATTTACAAACTATCCTGATCAAACCGGTTCAACCGTTTGTACTGGTGTAACGTTAACTGGTACACACTCCCGGTCTGTACGCATGCGCATCTACTGGTGTACCCGGTCTGTACCTCCCGATCTGTAGCATATATGCGGGGCTACATTTGCCTGGGTGTTCCTTCCATGCGCGGTTAGGTCTTGATTTAAAAGAGTTTACAACTTCTGGTGCTAGATTGTTCCACAGATACACTGTGTGTACACCAAAGACTCGCATGTCCAATGTGAATCTCGACACATTAATTAAGTCCAATTTATCAAAGTACACATAGGAATCAATTAAAGCGAAGAAAGCTACATGTATATATATGTATAACCACGAAATTTATTTATTTTAGATATGAAATGTTTCAGTAAAAGAATAGCTATATAACAAGTGCAGAGCGTTGCTCGTCATGCTGGACTTGTCTGCTACATTTGACGACACCTGGAGTACTCAGTGTGTTGCCATTGGATCTACCACCTCGCATGCCGTATTTGGCGCAAAGCTTACTTTTTGCTCCGACGTAATCCAAACAGCGAGTATTACTCTGACGTAAGCGAAATACAAATGTAGCGAGTATCTGGATTACCCCCCGTGTGACCAGGGACGTGTAGTCCACTACACGTCCCTGGTGTGACCAGAGACCTAAAGTAATTTAGGTCTATGGTGTGACTAAGTACTAGATTCCGGGTTTCCTCAAGGGTCGGTGTTAGGACCACGACAATATTGCCTGTACTCCAATCTGATCGGAGAGATTTGTCGTCGCCATAGCCTTCGCTATTTTATGTACATGGTCATCAAACCACAGGACAGTTGGGATACAATTTCAGAAAATCGGGAAGCTTGTCTGAAAGACATCAGCAACTGGATGAACGCCAACATGCTAAAGCTTAATCAGGAAAAGACGAAACTAATCGTCTTTTCCCCAAAGTGTCAGCAAACAATGGCTCTCCAGCTCAATGTCGGTGCCAGAACTATTGAGAATGTCCCAGCTGTTAAAAACCTAGGAGTATACTGTGATAGTTCACTGAACATGGAGAAACAAGTGAACGCTATTGCCAAATCCTGTAACTACCTGATCAGGAACATAGGCTGTATCCGGCAGTTTATACCGGAAGATGCATGCAAGATTTTGGTGCATTCACTTGTTACCACTCGGTTGGGTTATGGTAACGCCCTGCTCTGTGGTATATCTGACAAACTAACTAGTCGTCTGCAGAGGGTCCAGAACAGTGCAGCACGGCTGGTTACTCGTACTCGAAAGAGAGAGCACATCACACCTATGCTTTATTCATTGCACTGGCATGGTTACCTGTACGATACAGGTCGCAGTACAAAGTTTTGGAGTACATATATACAAGCCACTGAATGGAACAGCTCCCCAGTACCAACAGGAGCGTGTTACCCTGTATCAGCCGTCACGACCACTGCGGTCGGAGTAAGAATCAGTTTTGTGTGTCCCAAAATCTCGTACTGTGACCTAACTTATAGATGAACCGGTGCTTTGGGAGGGTTTCGGTCACGTTGTGGAATAGCTTACCATCTGCCATTAGAAAGTCAAATATCCTGGCCAAATTCAAGATGGACATCAAAACTCATCTATTCACGTCTGCATTTTAGGCCCTTTGCAAAGACGTCATGTAAATACCACCCTTTATATATTCATTTATGTGCACATTACGATGATTATCTGCTTGCTTAATGTATAAAAGTGATTGTAAGCCTTTGTTTTTGTTTTACAATTATAACTAATACTTTTATCCATATATTGTAAAGCGCTTTAGAGATTTTTTACAAATCATATAGGGCGCTATATAAATGTTGTATATTATTATTATTATCATTGTCTTATAACGGGTGAAAAATCAAATTTTTACTTGATATACAATGAACGTATTAAAACACGTACCCGGAAAATAAAAACCACTGTCGATGACATATACCTCGGTATTGACAGCTTTTTGTTTTTGTTCTCCTAGCATCATCTGGTCGTTTATCATAATAAATTATATCTTCGTCTTCATCTGATTGACTTCCTCCGTCGATACCGACGATTACGGAAGTAGGGTCATTGTGCTATCGTGCGTTAATTATGTGCAGTGATTATTTTTTTTGGATTTTTTTGTTATTTGCTATAGGATAAAAACAGGTTAAAAGCATTGAGTAAGTGTTAGTTATGTTGTAGGTTTTGTATATGTTCGATTATGTTGTATGTGGTGCATGTCCTTAATTCTGCTCATGTATTTGATTGAATTATTGTTGTGGGTAGGAGGTTCCATTATGGTGTATGGAAAGAATGAGTGTCTGTATGTGTCTTTGGATGTGTAGATATGTTTGTAACTAAGGTCGTGTCCTTGACGTGTTCTGGTGTCTGCCGGGATGAGATTGTTAGTGTGTATTGCTACTTGTTGGTGTATTATTTTGTAGAGAAGAATAATACGTGTTCTCGTTCTGCGTGTGTGTAGTGTTGGCCATTGCAAGTTGTGTATCATAACTGTGACTGAGCTTGTGTTATGGTATTTGTTTAGGACATATCGTGCTGCTCTTCGTTGTACTTTTTCTAATTGGTTTACGTTATTTGTATAACGTGGGTCCCAAACTGAAGAGCAGTATTCGAGTTTTGGTCTTACAATGGCCTTGTATGCATGTTCTTTTATGTGTCTTTTATATAATGAACCAATATTGACTTTATTTGCTCACTGAAAATTATGTTTTCTTTCCTACAAAGTGACATTTAAGTCTGATATATTATCATTTTAATCGATTCAATAAGTGTGTAAACATTTTTTTAACTTTTATCTCGCGCACAATAAAAATATTTCTTACCGCACCGAAATGTCACATCGATGTTGTCGGCGCGGTTAGCGGGTATTTGGTTATATCGGCCCAAGGTAATATCGTCCAGGCCTAATTTACCCAAGTGAAATCGGCCCAAGTTAAAATCGGCCCTACTATGTATCTATATGTTAAATACATGGGATTTATACATTTATTATACATTAAAGGATTTATTTAATTACGTACTGTTGTTGTTGTTTTGTTTTTATTGCCTTACACAAACAATGATGTTCGCCTACCAGACTGTTGGTAGCTCATAATTAACTCTTGAGTACCTCAGACCAAATATGGAACAAATCCTTTCATTCCTACAGAAGAAGAAGGACTTTATAAATTCACTAAAATCCTTCTTCTTCGGTAGGAATGAAAGGATTTGTTCCATATTTGGTCTGAAGCATCCTTGGGGGAAGGGGAACCAATTTTGTATAAACCGTGTGTCTGGCCCCACAGGGGCCTGAGGGGCGGAGTCCAATAGGGGAAACATAGCAAATTCTTTAAAATCCTTCTTCTGTAGGAATGAAAGGATTTGTTCCATATTTGGTCTGAAGCATCCTTGGGTAAAAGGGAACCTATTTTGTATAAAACGGGGATCTGGCAGGGGAAATATAGCAAATTCTTTAAAATCCTTCTTCTTCTGTAGGAATGAAAGGATTTGTTCCATATTTGGTCTGAAGCATCCTTGGGGGAAGGGGAACCAATTTTGTATAAACCGTGTGTCTGGCCCCACAGGGGCCTGAGGGGCGGAGTCCAATAGGGGAAACATAGCAAATTCTTCAAAATCCTTCTTCTGTAGGAATGAAAGGATTTTTTCCATATTTGGTCTGAAGCATCCTTGGGTAAAGGGGAACCAATTCTGTATAAATAGTGGGTCTGGCCCGAGAGGGGCCTGAGCAGCGCGGCCCAATAGGGGAAACATAGCAAATTCTTTAAAATCCTTCTTCTTCTGTAGGAATGAAAGGATTTGTTCCATATTTGGTCTGAAGCATCTTTGGGTAAAGAGAAACCAATTTTGTATAAACAGTGGGTCTGGCCCCAGAGGGGCCTGAGCAGCGCGGCCCAATAGGGGAAACATAGCAAATTCTTTAAAATCCTTCTTCTTCTGTAGGAATGAAAGGATTTGTTACATATTTGGTCTGAAGCATCTTTGGGTAAAGAGAAACAAATTTTGTTTAAACAGTGGGTCTGGCCCCAGATGGGCCTGAGCAGCGCGGCCCAATAGGGGATACATAGCAAATTCTTTAAAATCATTCTTCTTCTGTAGGAATGAAAGGATTCGTTCCATATTTGGTCTGAAGCATCGTTGGGTGAAGGGGAATCAATTTTGTATAAACCCCTGGGACCTGAGGGGTGGGGCCGAAAGGGGTCAATTTGGCTATATTGATTTAAGGTTGTTGGAGTGTATTGATAAACGGAAATAGGAAGTACATCCCTAGTTGAAAATCCAATGAAGGGAGACAGTATCACAATTTCCGCATATTATAAAGTTTAATATTAAACTGGTGAATATTATATGTTTAGTATTGACAGAACATTGTGTTCTTTCATATGTGTATATGATTTTATTAAAAAATGTCAATTTTTAATCGTTTATAGATCATTTATTTTACACAATTTCAGCATTTATTAAATTGCTATACATTACTGCAATACTAATCTATGGCAGTATTATTTTTATTGACATTATATTGCAAACAATTGTGTCTTTCATTTTTGTGTCGCCTGCGAAAAGCTGATGACACATGCATAGGCATTGCTATGACGGCGTCGGCGACGTCGTCCGAACAGAGATTTTCGTGCGATAACTTGAGTTTCCTTGGGCCGATCAAACTCAAACTACATGTAATGCTTCCTTACCAAAAGTGCTTGCTTGGGATTTCTTTTCAGGTCCGAAGGTCAAAGGTCAAGGTCACTGTTACTATAAATAGAAAATCTGTTTTCGTGCGATAACTTGAGTTTCCTTGGGCCAATCAAACTCAAACTTC